GGGATTCTGTGACACCATTTATAAGCTAGAAAAATCCCAAATTTGCCAGACTCAATTCCTTCGCAACTCAGCAGAGCTCACACGATACAGACAGAACAAATGCACGTGCAACCACCAATCTAGTCCTCTCTCAAGCAAAATCTAACTTCAGTAAAATAAGCAGCGTATTTCACAACAACACAGAATCAGACTCACAGCCTGGTTTGGGTTGGAAGGGACCTTAAAGCTCATCCAGTCCCAACCCCCCTGCCATCAGCAGGGACACCTTCCACTAGACCAGGTTGCTCAAAGCCTCATCCAACCTGGCCTTCAACATTTCCAGGGAGGAGCAACCACAGCTTCTCTGGCCAACCTGGGACAGTGTCTCACCACCTTCTCACCAAAGAATTTCTTCCACATACCTCATCTCCATCTCCCCTCTTCTAGTTTAGAGCCATCACCCCTTGTCCTGTCACTCCCTGCCCTTGGCCAAAGTCCCTCCCCAGCCTTCCTGGAGCCCCTTCAGGTACTGGGAGGCCGCTAGAAGGTCTCCCCAGAATCTTCATATCAAACAACACAGAGTCTGCCCTTTCTTCCTCCCTGCCCTGCCTCAATGCTCTATCCTTGGTTAAAGCAATGAAAAATTTTTAACACGTTTAAAAACCTACTAGTCAGGATAGAGCTCTGAGCCTGAGCGTCACTCCTTACCATTCACCATTTCTGAAAGCGGGGGACCCAAAACCCAAAAAACCACAGGAACTAAACTTTGATCCCACTATAGTCACTACAAAAACTCCCACCAACTCTGGAAGATATAAATATGGCAACTGTCTTCAATACCATTGAGTTGACATGCAAGTGTTGAGACAGGCTCTTCACCCATCTCTTGAAGAGACTTTCCAGAGTCACTGTAGAAGTGTCTGCTCTTCTGGCTAAGCTTTCGACACAATATTCTTTAGAGAACTTAGTCTTCTCCTGTTTTGGCACCAACAGATTACCACTTATTAATATCACATTCTCTCAATATTCACAGATGAGCATTCAGGAGTATGAATTAATTAACGATGAGCAAGATGAAGAAAGTTGCTTACAGAGATATCGCCAACGCTGCATGCAGGATATGCACCAGAGGCTGAGTTTTGGGCCGAAATACGGTTACCTGTGCGAGCTGCAGAATGGGGAACAGTTCCTGGAAGCCATCGAGAAAGAACGTAAAACCACCACCGTCATCGTCCACATCTATGAAGATGGCATCAAGGGCTGCGATGCTCTCAACAACAGCCTGACCTGCCTGGCGGCCGAGTACGCCACCGTCAAGTTCTGCAAGATCAAGGCCTCCGACACGGGGGCTGGAGACCGCTTCTCAAACGAAGTGCTTCCCACTCTACTTGTCTACAAGGGTGGGGAGCTTCTGAGCAATTTCATTAGCATTTCTGAACAATTCAATGAGGAGTTTTTTGCTGGAGATGTGGAGTCTTTCCTAAATGAGTATGGGCTGCTACCTGAAAGGGAGCTCCCGCTACTGGGAAATGGCAACCCAGATGAGCAAGATGTTGAATAATTAGAGAGTTGTAGTCCTCACTGTCTCCCTTCCCTCTTCACCACGTTGTAAATCAATCTCAGTAACACCCCTTTCCTTTAGAGAAGGCTGTCTTTGCTCACTTATTTGTAAGTTACATATCTATAAATATTGTTTAACTGTTAGTATGTTAATTTTACTTAAAACACATACAACTGGCAGTCCTGTACATAATTTATTTCTACGCCAGCCACAAGTAACAGGAAGAACAGGAGATGATACTGGTGACCTCTAAGAAATTAAGGAAGAAAAAAAGGGGCTCGTGCCTGTCTCCACAAAGCACAGGAAGAATTTCATTTCCACAGGAACAGGAATGATCCATCCCCCTGCACAGACAAAAAGCAGTCTCTGTGCTCTGAGTTACAGCAAGTCCTGGCTCCTGAGATCAACTTCTACTGACTTCAGTAGCAACAAGATCTCATCCAGCAGTTTTAAGGACAAACAAGCAGCTGAAAGTCCTTGCATTCCTAAATGGCTTAGGTATCTAGGACATTATTTTACGCTTCCGCATCTAACTTCCAACATTAATGAAAATACAGAAGTTCGCTCTGCGCTTCCAGAAGTTTGTCACCCAAACAGCTAACACAGACACGTTACCAGCTAACTCCAGTCCATTGTTGCTCCCCCCAGATTTTGAACAGTAATATTTAAGATGTCTGCAATTTACTGAAAAAGTATACTGTGCTTATGTAAAAACTCTGAATAAAGCTTGACAGCTCTCGAAACCTGCTGTTGCAAGTGTGAAATATATTGGTAGTACATCATCTTAACCATAAAAACACGTGAAATATTAGCGAGCACTCACTAGACATTTACTAAACTCCAAGTTGTAAGTTTTGCTAAAGGGATGCTGCTGAGAACTACGATTTAACCATCTGTTTGAGAGGAAGACACAGGGTAAACTCGCTATAAACCTTCCTCTCTCTCTGTAGGTCTAAAAAATCCACCTCCCCCAGTTCTGATACAAGACAACAAAACATTAGACACATTTCAATGACTTCTTTTGCACACTGGCAAAGCTTAAGGCTGATTTTTTTTCTCTGAGGACAGGAATATCTCTATCTTATCCACACACTATTTTGCTGATAACATTTGAGATTATCAAAATGTGAGAGATTACTTTTAGTACTCATATGACTCACTAGTTTTTATTTGATTTGACAGTTTCAACATTTTGCTCACTTGGGAGTGGGAGTTTTCAGTGTTGCTTCGGGTCAGGATCCCACCAGGTGAATGTCACCCTGTGGAAGCCTGTACAAGGATCAGTAAGAATTCAGAACTGAGCGGCCAGGACCAAGGAATTATTGCTGCAGTGATATAACTCACACATTAAAAACAGGTTCTTACCACTCTTTTAAACACATTTTTTTTTTCTGCACTTTTCATTGACATGGAAAATTCACAGGAGTAGCTAAGAGTTACACCCCTTTCCAACAGATCTACACAACAAAAGAGTTCTACTCAAAAAGATTTGGGAAATATAACCCTGCAAAACATTACTGAAGGAGCTGCGAGATACACTTTCAAACAAAATTAAGTACAACTTTATCAATAATGGTCACAATGGTCTTCTTTTTAGAAGAAAATCTGTTTTTTTTGTTTGCCCCATTTTAGGGACTATCAAAATGCTACTGAATTTCTACTTTTAACATTGTTCTGCCATGGATTAATATTTTCAGAGCACTAGAAGCCTCACCTCATGTGCACTAAGCAATATGAATGAAGTTCCTCATCATCTCTTAACAACACACCATCTTCTTTAACCCATAAAACAATGCATTCTTTTATTCCACTAAGAATTCAAATAGCATCCTCACAACATGCCACGATTTCCATGTTGTACATTTCTGAATGCAACACTGTCCTGTTTTTCTGATGGAAGTCCAGGTGGAATAAAGCTTTTCCCTTAGAGCAGCTCTTTTTCCCCTTACTCAAGCATGGTGTTTATTCCTCAGCTAAAATCACCTTCATCTTAACATTTCATTTGCATCAGCGGGTCGACTCTTCAGAAAGCTCCCATTTGCAGACAGACCCAAGGTTACGAAAATCTGACGTCTCGTAACAGGTTATGTAGAAAATAATTAATTACCTTCTGTCTCTCACAAAAATAACCAGTTACCTGAGTGGTGGGACAGTAGTTGCCTTGTATTTTTTGATGTTTTAAAGGAGAGGCATGAAAAATTTCTGTCCTTTACACACCAGAAAATCTCCACATAACTGGTAGGAACTGAATGTTCTTGAGAACTTTCCCTCCTTGTCAAATTTGCTTCAAAAGTTACCAGGCTGCACATCAGCAGCTTCATTTCTGTGATAAACCAGGTGGAAAGGAAAAAAAAAAAACCCAGCAAACCTAACAAACAACAATCACCACAGAAACGTTTTCAGCTAGTTGTAAGAAACAGGCTGACACTCCAATTTAAGAGATAGATTAAACATGCTTAAGCAGGATTTCCTTCAACCTGTAATTTACAAGAAAACAAAGAAAAAGAAAACCCACATGCGACACCAAGCCCCAACAGAAGCTCATGACTAATGAGTTGCAAATAAAGCTCTGATCACAGCAGTCATCCATATTTCTGCAGGGGAAAAAAAATACATCTTAAAATCAAAAAGCAAGATTTGACTCAAACATCTGTACTGCTGTACACAAGTTCTGGAGTAACAACAATAAATGCTTTAATAAGCACATGGGAACAGCCTTCCTGCTACCCTTGGCTACAGTTACTTTTCCTTTTGACTCAGTCACAGAGACCCCGAGTGTCCTCAAATATTCTGCTGCAGATGAAAACGGAGGAGAGGGGGGGAACTAATTAGCAGAGGTGTCACTGCTGATCAAACTAAGAGCAGAAGCTCTAGTAGGTGCACGTGTGTTATCGGCACGCTCAATGCTACCCCTCAGATGTGAGGAATGACACTGTACAATACCACTGAGGCGATTTAAAACTACATTTTAAAACTACATAACACAGAAATTAGGTTTCTGTAAAATTATTCCATCACATCAATTTTAGAACTACACTTAGTTCTAAAAAGTTCTGAAAGTTCTCAGTTCTAAAAGCCAGATTTTCAGATGTGGGAGTCCCAACCATTCCTTTACTCTTACATATTAAAATACAAATCTATTCGCAGTCAGGGATATGTGTTAAGTTGAATTTCAGCCGCAATGTTGTTTTCACAAACTGCTTCAGCAGATTATACAGGCAGCAGGAAAAGGACATACCCACATGAAACCTGAGCAATAGTGAGGCAGCAGTCAAGCAAGAGACATATAAAAGGTTGCTCTCTCTTTTTTTTTTTACCCCCTTACACACACCTTTTTGTTTTCCTTAAAGAACTCATTTTCTTACGTTATCAATGGCTTAACAGTAGGAAAAGGATGGGAAGCAGGGTGACAGTGAAATCCCCTCTTGGTTAGTTCTGTAATTCTTCGACAAGCGAGAACCTGTTTTCTTCTACATCCACCATTTCCTCATGGCAGGATGACGGGAAGATACAAGTCAAATTAGTCATTTTTTCTTTGACAGGGTTAAATGATTTTCTTATTGCACAGACAGTGGTTCAATGCAGCTTCCTGTATTAAAGCAGAAACCTCATCCAAGGCAAGTTCTTCCTTTGCCTTCTTCCATCCTCAAACTGGAGCATTAGATTTCCACAGATCCTAGATACCGAGCTAGTTATAAGCCGAAGGATTAATGTGACCATCTATAGTAACACCAAAAGAAAAGGATCATTTACTAAATATGCAATAAGCTTGCAGAGGGGGAGAAAAACAGGGATCTATGGAATAATACCTCCAAACAAGCTCTCCTTTTTCCACCACAAGTGCTATACAAGCACTACTTGGAATAGTGTTTCATTACTATTTTCTTCTCTGGTGTAAGATATTTAGCATCTCAAACGTTGTACTTCACTTCTATGGCTGAGTTTTGAGTAACAGGCAACTAGATAATAACTGGTTTGTATTTTATTTCCCAAAGAGTATCCACCTCCCAAAGAAAAGAAAAAAAAGACAAAAAGAGACAAAAGAAACTTCTTCTCATTACTCCCCTGCTCCTTCTAATAGAGGCTTTAGCAGAGCAATTTTCAAGCCAAACATTTTGAAGCATGTCACAAAATTGATCTCATTTTCTGGATAGCACTCAACCTCCCCCAGAATCAGCTGCATCTGCATAACGCCATTTTGCCCACTGATTCCAGCACTGGCACAGGATGACAGGCACCTATAAAACACGCGGCGGCTGAAGGACTTACCTGCAAGCAGTGCCTCCCTCAGAACATTCACTTCCCTCCGAGAGGCCCTGCTTGAGCAACACTGAGCACAAACGACCAATGCTGTGTTCCAGCACACAGTGACAACACTCAAAGCAGATCTTTTTTCCAAACATGCAAAAACAGAATACACAGATGAGGCAACAGTATTTAAGATATCTTTCCCATAGTTGCCTTTTATTAAAAGTATCCCAGTACATCCTTGATTATGCTTTAGAATCAAAGAGTTTATATATTTTTCTTTTCTTTTATATATTTTTCTTAGTGTTCCAGTGCCTTTATACAAGAAAAGAAATTTGCAGCGGTACTAAAATGCCCTAAAACCTGGAATCATTTTCTACTGTGGTTCAGATCCAAGTAAACATCACATTTCATATATGAATGATCTTTATTAACCCTACTAGATTTCTTCCCTCCTTCTGCTCTCCTCCACAGCAAGTAAACAGTAATGTTGTCACCTAACACAGCCAGGAGACTATCTCATAATGCAGAACTATCTGTTCATAGGCTAAAAATCCTGATTAGCAAACCATTTTGGCAACTTGCAAGTATCTACAAGATAATCCACAGAGGCTGCCCAGCTGTAGCTGCTGCTGAAATAGTTAATAGTCCAAGAGAATGATGATTGAATCAGAGCTGGACAGAGAAATCACCATCAAGAGTCACTGAGTGAAAGGTGGTATATACAAATCTCCAAATTTCTATGCATTTCATTGATTTCTGAGTTCTCTGGGTCTTGAACTAACGTATTCACACGCAGAACTGGTCTAGTCTTGAAACTAGTAGGAGCTATTTGTATACCTATTATCCTACCTAACCAATATCACCTAAAACAATGCATATGGTGAAATGTTTGCTTCCTTAATCTTATTTTTCTTCAATTATTTTTAATGAGATGAGGTTTATCTTAGCAAAGGAACCCTTAAAGCAAGAATTGTCATACCAGGTAACTACACTAGTCTTACCAATAGCCTGAAGAACACCAGTAGTAGCATTCTGCATTAAAACAGCAAGTAGGAAGAAAATGAAGGTTCGACATTTGTTTAAGGGATCTTTCTAGATAACAATACTATCATTCATTCACACAGAGTGACAGGGTTAGTTTCCTGTACTCTTGATTCTACTTGATATTGAAACCTCATTATTCTACTAGATATAGTAAGCACATGCTGGAACAAGGTAACTGAACCTATCATTACAATAGATATTGCACATCTAACTGGGGGTATTTAGGCAACAATTCTTAATTACTAATATATTAAACCCAGATGTTTCCATCTTGTTACTGGTCAATACTTCCATGAAGCTCCGGTTGCTTGAGTTTAATCACTGAAGTAATTGAAAGAGAAGATCGATGCAAAGACTGCAACAGCAGCTGCTATTACCACACCTAAAATAATAAAGGAAATGCATTCAGTGAGTGGCGAGGGCAGCAGAGTCACCAGCAGCTGGGGCGTGGAGGGCAGGGTCACGCTGAATGAAAAGCAGGAGGGGGAATAGTAAAAGCCATCCCAAAAACTCTCTACCACTGCTAAGCCTAAATCTAAAGCTGCAATATCAGATAACTAAATTATACAAGCTTCACATAACATTTCTAATCAGAGCAGGATCCTTCCAGAAATGACTGCATGCTTCTGTAGTACCTTAGCCACATCTCTGCACTACTGCTTCATTCTAGGCATCACACTAGGAAAAATAACTAAAATTTTAAGCTTTAAGACACAAAAGCTATTAAGTTTTTTTCTTGTCACATCTACTGTGTCAGTCTCTTTGTAGCACAGTGGTCACGCTGCTATTGATTAACAGGCTTGTTACTGATGCAGCTGAGAAGACGCACAAAAACAAAAACACCCGACTGATGATTCAAGGGAAAACATTTTTACAGCCAAAGCAAACACGTATTTACTGGTATTACTCCTCAATCTTCCAGTTACCACGTTTTGTTTCTATGAATTAGTTGCCTAAAGTGTAACTGTATTTTAATATGAGAAGACAGTCAAAGCTCACAGCGGAGAACCATGCTGAGTGCAGACAGATACACGAGAACAGGACAAAGGAGCATCATGGAGAAGCTGTATTTGTAAGAAGAGTTCTGTGGCTGGTTTTCCCCGCATTACTGAGGCTGACAATGAACACCCAAGCCCATAGGTATGTGTCAGCTTTGGAAGCAGGTTAGTGAGTCACTGGGCGATTTATGGGTGCATCCTTGACAAAGTCATTCAGCTGGGTTATTCTTTTTTAAAGTATGGAATTATAGAAGTGGCAGCTCTCCAAAAAAGAAATAAAGCTACACGAGCCTTTTGGATCGACTTGCAGGCTGAACAAATGCAAACGCTGGCTTTGATCCAACAGCAGGCTGTGATTCTCTCTTCCCCAGAAACACCCTGCACCTACAGCACTGAAATGGGGAGTCACTTTAGAAAAGCTGTCGTATTAAGAGTTAGCAGCAGAGATTAAGACTTTTTAAATTGATCTCATCAGTTTACTAACAATGCTGTGGAACCTGGCAGTACTGAAAGGGCCCATGATAGCATCTGGATTGCCATAGCAAGGTCAGGGAAGAGAAACATACCCATGTTTTGTTGAAGTTTCAACAGCAATGTTGCTTTTGTCAGTTGTTTCTGTTGTGTGTCATCCGTGTTGTCAGTAATGGGACAAATATCAACTGCATGGAAATCAAGTGAAGAAATAAATACCAGGTGAAAAGCTAACAGTTGTGGTTTACAGTTGAATTAAAGCAAAAGGCCAAGAACTTCCCATCAACTTCATAAAGAACAGTTATGGCAGAAAAAAAAGTGTTTAGCACCACAGAAATAGTACAGTAGCAATAACATAGCACTAAATTATTCTGTATGGCTGGAAGAGTAAAAATAAAGAGGAAAAATACATTTGGAAAGGAGTTTCACTTCCAGACCTCATTTTCCACACCCTGCTTCCAGGGTGGTTCCATATCCAACCCCCTATATATACATAACCTGGGGACAACCTGACTACTCTGAGAAGGAACCACTACAATGAACCACTAACTAATTTACAAGATCCAAGTTTTCCCTTCAGAGACATTTGTCCAGAGTTCAGGCTACATGCAAAACCCACTGCCACCACAAGAGCAAGCCCAGCATTATTTCCCCACCCAACAGCTATAAATGCTTTTTTCAAAACACAGAAATTTCTTTTTTAGAAGATCTTTTAAAAATACACTTTCAGAGCAGGCATAGAGGACACGTTCCCCTTTGGAACAATTACTAATATCCTTAGACTCTCACCCAGTACGTGAGAGAGCGTGATTATTTCCAGAGTGATGGGATTCAAACCCGTATCTATTTCATAGAATCACAGAATGAATCACAGACTGGTTTGGGTTGGAAGGGACCTTAAAGCTCATCCAGTCCCAACCCCCCTGCCAGCAGCAGGGACACCTTCCACTAGACCAGGTTGCTCAAAGCCTCATCCAACCTGGCCTTCAACACTTCCAGGGAGGAGCAGCCACAGCTTCCCTGGGCAACCTGTTCCAGTGTCTGACCACCCTCACAGTGAAGAACTTCTTCCTAATATCTAATCTAAACCTCCCCTCTTTCAGCTTAAACCCATTTCCCCTTGTTTTGTCACTAACTGCCCTTATGAACAGTCCTTCCCCAGCTTTCTTGTATTTCCTTTCCAAAGACTTCCCTAATTGCTTGGCTATATCCAGCTTGTTAGAGAGGGGAGGAAAAGAAAAAAGGGGATTAATCTGGAGTCCACAAGCTGAACTCGTTCTGAGCTGAGCTTGTTCCCCAGGTCAGTGATGAGGTTACTTGGTGGTGGGCCAAAGGTCCCTGTTCCCAGAATGGTTTGCTAAGGCATCACCAATCAAAAGTTCTGATTACAATTCAGCAGCTGCGACTGCAGACAACTTCTGGACAAGTAAACAATAAGAGAAAGTGTTTGTGCTATTGAAGCGAGACCCTGATGTCTTTGGAAAGAACAGAATCAGCATGCTGAGATAAGAAAAGACAACTAACAGATTGTTTTTATTCAGAAGATAAAGGAGAAAGACCCACAGCAGTGTGAGATAGCAAGCTTTACCACTCCATGCAAAACTGATCGAAATAAAAACAGATCTCCCATTTCCAGATTGTCAATACCTATAAATTACAAATTATACGGTTGGGTAATAAGGCACATCCCTTGTATGATTCATATCAAAATGATTAATGGAAAAGTACTTTCTCTATCATATCATTATCTATGGGGGAAATGTATAATCTAGATGTGTGATCAGAAAGGTTGTTTCTGCCATCTCAGATGAGTCATGTGCATGACTGCCTTCGAAATCTTCTGAAGTCAAACTTGCACAAGACCTGCTGTCACACAAAAGCACTCCAGCTAGACATTTAGGATCTGCCTTTAGCCATTTTTACCCCTGAGCCCACTGACTGTGTAAAGGATGTACTAGCACAGAGCAATTAATAACTGTCCAATATGAAACTTAACAAGATAGCAAAACATATACACATACACACACAGGCATACTTTAAGTATAAACATTGCTTTGAGATCTCTCTGCAAGCTGCACATACATGTAAAGTAAAAATAAGGACACAATATTTCAATACAAACGGTGCTCTTTGGAAGAGCAATTCTCAAATATCTCTGAAGCCCACAATGAGGTTGTAGTTTCATCATTATTTTATCTGTGCAAAGGAAAACACTCTCACCTGCCTAAAATATGAGCAGAAATCTTCAACTAGAGTAAGTGAATTACTAGTTGTTGCCAGACAGCTTTGGCAGCAAGTAGTTTACGTAGCACATTCAGAGCACCACATTCTCTCCAAACTACTTCAGAGTTTTCAGCTCCCTAAGATAACATATCCCTTGTGGAGAAGCCGACCACATTTCTTGGGTCACCTTTGAAGTGTAGATCCAGAAGGTTTCTTTCTGCTTTAGTTTTGATGAGCAAGTAGGCTAGTTTGTGCCCTCTAACTTTATGTCACTTTGCACCTTCATATGAACTGCTGCATTTTTCTGAAGGCAGCTTTTGAAGCTGCACATCAAGGCAGCAGCGCTCGCTTGCTCAGAGGGGGAAGAATTAAAAAAATAGAAAAGAAAGAAAAAAAAGAAAGAAACACCCTTGAGCTACTGAGTTACCAAAGGCATTTATGCCATCAAGTCATGGCAGACTTGCATCTGAAGCAGCTGATCACACAAAGAGTTTCCAAAAGCAGACGCTTTCCAGTACCAACTATATGAATCCTTAATTCTTCATTAATTCTTCAATTTGCTAACGAAGATAGGGAAGTGATTACCACTACTGAAGTCTTATTTATGCTTATCCACTCAGGGTATTTAACACGCTACCCTCACCCCCTGCACCAAGGGGGAGTGGGGATTTAGTAAAGCCAATCATAAAAGCAGAGCTTTCAACTGCTTGTATTAAAGCTCTAAATACCTTGAAACTACAGTGTTAGCGCTATTTATAGCTTTCAATTATCAAAAGGTCAGTTTTTACTTTCTATTTGCCATGTAACAATTTTAAAGCATGACCCAGTAGTGACCTCACTGGAGAGCTGGACAAGGAATCAAGAGAATAAAACTGCAGGAGACAGCAGCAGAGGCTGTAACAAGTAAGCACATAAAACTGACTCTCAAAATGCCTTTATTTCTTATGTTTTGACTAAAAGCTGCTTAAAAATAGATCTTTTGGCTATAGTTATTAGAGCCTCCTCTTCTCAAGTGTAAAGAGCAACCAAAAAAACAAAAAAGAAACTATTTTAAAAGCCTGCTCATGTGCTTGAATTTTAAACAATGATTTTTATCAGCAAACTTTTCCCAGAACTTCACTATGGAGAGCATTTCTAGTTAATTCAAGGTTGCTGCCTAAAACCACAGGAATTTTGTTACAAACAGAAAAGTTGATGTCAAAATTCACTACAAACCAATTTTGATACCAGTACTGAATATTGACTATTAGTAATAAAGATAGCACCAAGCTTTGAGAAATAACAAATGCTGCCCAAATTGGAACGATGCGTTAAAAAAGCCTTTACACAGGGAAACCTCAAACTCTCATATCTCACAAAAACATGTTTACAGCAATACTCAAGACACTTCATACCAAAGTCCCAATAAAATCCAAATTGCAAAATGAATGCTTTTTCTCACAACACAGAGTGCTTTTCTTACACGGTTAAGAGGTCTCATTTCTAAAACAGCCTTCCTGACCTTAATAAAAGCGCGTAAATAGCGTGGGATTTTAACAAACCACAAGTTAATAATGTTGGAATTACTGGAATCGAAAAGCGTTGTGCTGATAGCACTATTATGATCACTGCTATTAACAGAAGTCACTCTACAGACAAATTTTATAATGTTCACTAAGACAAGGCCAGTCTCTCAGTTTGTTCTGAAATCCTTTGTACATTCTTCCCTCTCCTCTGCTATGCACCTACTTTAATTTATTTAAAAATAATTTTATTTTTTTTTTTTAAAGAAAAATAAATCCCACACACCTAACTCTACAATCAGCAAGTTACAAGAACACACAAACTCATTTTGTGGGCTCCCAGAAGGTCATTTCACACGTATTATTGGCTTCAATTCTTTGTGATGCATTTGCTGTTAGTCTCATCGTGCTTTCTTCCCACCTCCGGTTCATACATCCTTACATAAGCAACCAAGCTAAACTGAATCACCTCCTCTCTCCCTTGCTACAACAATATTAATTTCATTAAAGCTCGGTAATAATTAGCTTTAAGATGATTAAAGTTACTCTTATAATGCAAGAGAGATTTTTATGGGCTTTCCTGTTTTTCTCGAGGTTCTGGAGCTGTGTACATCTTTCACTTCTCAAGATAATGAGTCAGATTCACAGCTAACAGGTTCAGTTAAAGCCCGGGGGGAAACTGATTAATTTAGACAGAGAATTTATGGTTAGCTCTGAAATTAAGAAACTAAAAAAACTCCCCAAGTAAACAAGTAGTTCAAGAAGAATATCAGTAATTGCAGTTCACCCTCCACAGCATGGCTACATTTCACATTTTTTGTCCCTAAATACCAAAATCAAAAAGTATTCACAGTCCTTACCTGAGAATTAGTGTTATTTTTATAAAATTTAAAATATAAAACTGTAGCCTGCAGCTCATATTCACATTGATAGGGAAAAAAAGGGGAGAAAATAAACATCTTCCAGAAGATCACAGGAAGTATTATTAGATGTGTTTCATTCATTATTAGATGATTTGACTCCTACATTGAAATTAAAGTTGCATAGGAAAAAACAAACCAAAACAGGAAACAATAAAACCAGAAATGTTCAGAAAAAGGAAGCCGAGGACTAGATTAGAGCCAAATATCTGTATTAAAAGGAATATAATGGTTTCATAATCAGATGATAAACTTATAAGGCATTCAGTAGAAAATGGAAAGCTCTCTCAATTTCCTTTCCATTTCAGGTAAATCACAAAACTTCAGTTTTGGGCACTGCATTTGATACATAAATTATACTAATGAGAATAAAGAGAGGTATTTTTTATTTTTGAAAAAGTCAGGTTTTAGCATGAGAACTTCCTGAAAGACACATTAGACTACATATATATTTTTTGCTAATAGCATTTTAAAAGTATTTTCTAGTTATTTAGTGAAAAAACAGTAGATTTTACTACAGCACTCAACTTCTTATTCTAATTTACTCTAAGTAGTATGAGAACTACTCAGCTCGAAAAAAGCTGAACTACTAAAAATGTAACCAGACTATAAAGCTTTGCAGGTTTTTCTTCAGCTCATTTGCCAGTATAATAGGATCACCGCTGATTCACGTGCAGAGTCACGTATGCAAACCTTGTTTAACTGTGTATTTATGGATGAACCTGGCCCATGCCATTAGCCAGCATTTTGGTGAGCCATGCTGCAGCCTGCCCTGGTGCCCAGATACCATATTTACCTGTGTTTGGTTCCTCTGCTACATGGATATCTTCAGCTCGCACAGATTGATCCAACATCTCAACAAAACGTTCCTGAATTTCTCCAGCGGCCTCATCGCCAAACTTATAATCACTGAGCATCACATTGGATCCAGCAACAGGGATAAACAGTCTTTGAGGCAAGACATGATATTCCCTCTGAAAATCTAAAAGAAGAGGGAAAAATACCATCCAAATGAAAGCCTTGTCAGTTATGATAAGGTTCCTTGTTAATCTCTGACTACAAGATAAAGCTACTGCAAAAGAACTGCTCAAGGTTTCCATGTAAAAACCCTGTTTTCAGGCACAGCTTGTTTAGTTGTTACTGTTTCGTGAAAGTTTGGGCTGCTATTATATTGATTTATGTTCTACTGATTTATGTTCTTACAACAGTCTCTCCAGAAATACCCAAGACACCTCCAAAACAGACCATAAAATATTAAACAGACCTTTTTTCATGTTTAGAATGACTAGCAAAAGAACTCTGGGAAAGACTGCAGATAAGAGCCTACACAGAGCAGCGTGTAAGTTCAACACCACAACAGACTGCAAACACTTGGCAGCTTTATGCCACACTTAAAGCCACAAAGCACGGGTGCCACCTAAAGAGGAAACTGAAAACTGCAAAAAAGCTTTGTGCAGGCTGGATAAAGCTGGCTAGCACCAAAACAGACCACATTACCCTCAAGGAAATGGTAACTCTGAGCATTAAATGTTTTTCCTTACACAATCCACCTGTTTCCAGCTCTTTTTTATTTTTTTTAATAGAATCGCTACCAAAAATAGTATCTTTTAAAAGGTTTTCCTTTATGTAAGATCTTGAAATGAATATTTCATTTAACTAATAATATTTGGTTTAAAAAAACCCCAAAACTCAACACAACACGAAGAAGATATAACTTGATACCACTGCACTGACTCAAGGAAGTTTAAAGAATCTCCCAGCATGAGCTGGGAGATCTGGTCTCAGCATATAACCCCTTTAGTTTTTAATATAATCATCACAGTTTTATTTTCATTAGATCAATGCCCATTGTGTTCTGGTCACTGCATGGGGCTCTTAAATTCAAGCTCATGCAATCCACCAGTTCTTCAGGGTGCTGAAATAAGATCTGCTTCTTTAAAAGACACAAAGCCTGTAAAATAAGTATTTGAGGAAGAGAAATAAGTACAGAGGGCAGAGACAACACAAATGATATCTTTGTGCAGTTAGTTTAAAAAAAAATAATCAATCAGGATACTTCTTCACATCATGATCACCACATAAAATGCCAGATTTCATTTAATGGAGATGAACTATTGAATTTCAGAGCTCAGGTCCACTATCATTCGTAACACAGTGATATAAAAACATGGAAGGCCAAATCCAGGTGGTTCTTTCAATCCTAACAAGTTTTAGCATACTTCAATATTAACAGGGATATCATACAGTGATTAAAAAAAGAAAGAATTTAAAATGTGCAAGTTACAGTTAGAAATTCTGTGGCAGGAATTTCAACTACAGAATTTTTAAAATTACTACATTTCTGATCAGTAAGAAAGAAGCTGGAATTGCATTTTGTGGTCGTGAGAACTGAATACAAACTTGGTGAGAAAGCTGTAATGTCAAAGAACATATCTGAACTTGACAAGAATTCTCCAGCTTTAAGAAAAAGTCAAGGCTGCCAAACAGAAATTGTGCTATTTGCTTTTTATTCTGCTCTAACCATACTGGAACTTCAGTTCACCAGCAGAATTTACTACAGCAACCAAAATTCACTGCAAATGCAAGGTTATTGTTTTATAATTCCTACTTTTTTTGTGAGGTCCTTCATTTATAATCAGATCTTCAAACAGTATTTCACACCGATCACTCAATGTGTTTATTATGTCTCTTTTCAAAGCCTGCAAGGACAAAGCAAAAACATCAGTAACATAAAAGCCCTTTGCAAAGCTTTTGACTTAGTAAGAAACAACTAAGAAGTCTGTCATCAGTTTAACCCCTGTTGAAAGAACAGTTTTTCCCAGAGAACTTTAAAAAGTCTAATAAAGAGAAGCCAACATCAAAAGAATTAAAATTAAAAAAAATCCCTACAAAACAAAAATTAAAAGCTGAGGAAAACGTTAGTATTGTTAGAGTAAGAACTGACAACTTTACACATTACCATTAAAAACAAAAATAATCACAAGGCACTGACTCAAAAAGTGGAAAAAAACCCATAATCACTGAACAAGTAAATCTGTATTTTCCCTCTACACATACAAAAATATAGTCTGTATATATACCCTTTTCTTAAGAAAATTCTTCAAAGCCCAAATCTTTGCCCAAATTATCATTTTGATGATAATATTTTTGATCATAATTATCATTTTGATAATTTGGGCAAAGATTCACCAGAGAACAGAAAGATTCACCAGAGAACAGCCTGCCAGAAATGAAAAAGGAATTGAACCATCACATATGCACACAGATGGTTTCTAAAACAAACCCTGCGTTCAAGGGGATGAACATTTCGACCCCAGTTTAGACCACGGCATTTTGGCAAAGAAAAACCAGTATGACAAATTTCACCTATTTCAGAAAGACGTTTCTGATGAACTAACAACCTTTCCATCACTACCTGAACAGCTTCTTTAACTTTTGGCTTGTTGTTATGCACGTAAGCTCTGCATTTCACAGCACCTTTGAGGTTTATGGAACCACTGCAGACCTGGACTGTAGCTGTTGATCTAGGACTTGAACCCCGGGACTGAAAAAGAAACACCTTTCAGTTTTATCTTGTTACCAAGGCACTTGCAGCATGAGTAACAAAAAGCAGAACCAAGAAAATTAATAGCATACCTGAAGATACATATAACCTGATTTTACCTCACAATTCAGACCTGTATTTGTTTGTTTGTTTTGTTAGTTAAGAGTGAAAATCTCTCTCCTTTGCCATTTAAATATTAATGTCTGCAAGACTTTGAAAACTTTCCAGGCAAGTGGCTTGTGGCTAATACTAGCCTGCAATCTAGAAATCTTTTTATTTTTTTTAAACAATTAAGTTTGCATATTTACTACATAGTCAGCATAACCTACAGTATCCAGAGTCACCCCATCAGCCAGTAAATTATAAATGTCACATTTAGAACTGTACTGATATTTGTTGCCTAGAAACATTCCCCCTAAGTACCAAAACAATGAGTGTGCTGTATGAAGCACTCGAAGACAACACCTGGAAACAGGGGAATGCACAACTTCCACAAGAACTGCGTGAACTCCTTCTGACAAAATAAAAAGCTTTCCTTTCCCTGACGCAGTTAACCTCTGGAAAAAGGTAACAACAGAAGCTGAGATACTCATCAAGTCTTTAAAATGGCATTTTAAACATCTCTAAAAGTTTTGCTACACATAAAATCAGAGAAACCAGGAAACACCTGGCAAAACAGGATGGCCTGTGCTGTGCGAGAAGCCTACAGAACAACAGGACCTAGACTGGGGCAGCTAATTCAGGGTTCAAGTCAGCAGAACCTCTGGGAGAGAAGAAACTCCTGACACAGACCTGACAGCTTCAGATTATGATTCATCTTACGGGATCTGTACTTTAATCCCAAACTAGTGACTGAGCTTCTGACGAAAGCGTTTGAGTACACGTCCATAGCCAGCCACAGCAACTGAAGCACGGGGGTGACTCTGAACTTCAGAACATGCAAAGTCACCTTGAAATCAACGTACACAGGTATGTACAGGTATCCTACCATCAAATGAATCCATTTGCAGGATTTCATTTCTATAACCAGCGTTTCAAATTTTCCTTGCAGTTGTACTGTGCAATTCTTGGACAACGTGGTTATCACAGCACGAGAATTTCTAAAGACATGAAATATGCAGATCTGTCCACAGTTTCACAGTCAATATCCACAGGGGAACAGTCTTAGGACAAAGTAAATTGGATTTCCAGACAATACTTTAGAATGTTCTTTTATTTTTATTCTATTTTATAAGGTAACAGCTCCCACTTTACAAACCACTAAACACTTACCAGCTGTGTCAGAACTTTGACATCAGAAAACTGAGCACTGGATTGAATATTTCCTCTTAACTTTTTCTGAAGGGGAAAAAATATTCTGTGTCATGAAACAGGAAGAAAAAATCTCCCCAAATCAAAATCTCCTCAGTACAGTATAAAATGTGCCCTATTTTTTAGCTTTTAAGAGAGAAAAACAGCACCTAGAAAATAGCCATGAGAATATAATTATAAAACTAAAAGGAGAGATTAATTCATCAGCCAAACAATGTTTCTACTCTTTGTTAAACATATAGGTAGGTCTTAGAAATCTCATTGCCTACATTCACACCCTGTTCTTTAATGAGGAGAGAGCATGTAGGACAGTGTTTAGTCAGGCGTAGCATGTAATTGTGTTTGCATTGCCAGAGGAAGAGGCAATGTGCAGCACTGCAGATGGGAACACAGCAGTCCTGCTTGTTAGTTACCTGAAACAGGCTGATTAGATCGATGAACATTGTACAGAAGACATCTCAGCCAATGCTTTATCACACTGGAGGATCTAACTGCACATCTGTTCTGTACTCACCTGCCCTTCCAGCAGTTCTGTACCATCATCTTTAACTTCTCCATTGATCAGAAAAACACTGTCTTCTATTTGTTTTGACCATCGATTTAATCCATTCTTTTAAAAAGTGAAAACACAAAAAAACTTGTAAGAGGAAAGAGAATTTCACTAAAGAGTTGGACAGTGTAATGCTGAAAATTACAGAAAAGACATGTGCCAACAGTTACTCCAAGAGAGTTTTAAAGCTTATGAAAAATCTGTCCATATGTCTTTCCGAAGCTAAATCTTAAAACCAACATGTTGAGAATATATCCACTACGAAACAAGTATTTCAAAGTATTTAAGTGCTAGCTCAGGGATTTTATTTTTGTAGAGAAGGATGCAGCCTACTGAAAGCCAATTCATATTCAAAGCACCCCATACCCCTGGTCTAATGGGTTTCAACCTTTCACAAGGTGAAGCAGAAGATACTTTAGTTGGAATAACCACTACAATTGCTAAATAATTTGGAGCAAAGGAAACTTGCCAACACTAAGCACAGCAGAAGAAAAGCTATCTTCATGTTTTATAAAATGAAGGACTCACAGTAACTTCAAATTAAATTTAAAAGAGGAACAACTGACAAACATTCCCTGCTGATTAGTCCTCCTCCTCTACTCACACCATGAAAATCTCTCTCTCTCATTTAATTTTCAACAGAAAAAATAGTGTAGGGACCAACTAGACAACTGGTGCAGCTGGTTAGTTACCTTGGTATTCTTCTCCAAGTCATGGTTCGGTGAAGTAGCAAGAAGTGGAATGTGAATATTAACATTTACCGTGCAGCCCAAAGCTAACCAGGAAGCAGACAGAGCACTCTGGTATTTCCAATCTGCTGGTTTAGCTGAACTCTGAGAGGAGAAACAAGCAATAAAGCATCCATATGAAACACTGCATAACTAATGGAGATTTATTTTTTTTTTAAACATTATTTGTCATGCTTTAAAAGCTGCGTATGACAGAGGATGATGAGCTCACCTTTGGATCTTGTACATCATAGGTTCGGCAAACTACTCTTTGCTACTTAAAGAAAAAGATCCAGTGAAAAGCAAAACAAACCAAGTAAGAACAATTCACAAGGAACTCTGCCCTTTACTTCTTTGTTAAGCTCATTTATGCTCTGAACAAAGTTCTCACCTTTCATTAGTGAAAAGTGGAAAAAGATTTGACTGCAAACTTCAACTACCACAGCAATGCTGTCCCATCTCTTACAAATACATTACAGCCAAAAGGTATTCACAGGGAGAACAAGCAAAGCACCGATTTGTCCTCATCTCTCTCAGCTCTCCAAGGAAAAGCCTCGCCTTCTCTCCTTCTATTACCTCATTATCAACAGACCCAGCATTCCTCTGCAGCACTGGCACAGATGCCACGTGCCCGCTACTTCCCCACCTCCATGTGAGTATCACTGCTAACAGCCACCTCAAGAAGTTACACAGTATTTCAGATTGTTTCCTGTGCAAATCAACACTGACTGGGGAAGGCAGAATTTGATGCCACCACACACACAAACCCAACAGTAAGAAATTTCAGATGGAAATTTTGCCAGGGTAAGAGGATCAACAGTCTTACTCATGGCTAATCAGAAAACTGATTATTTCAACTTACTGATCTATGCCCATCTGAACTCAAACAACTTTCCTCTCCCAACTCACCATTTAGTCAAAAATAACTAGAGAAACAAGTCCCAATCAATAAACCTTGCTCATAAAGGATACTTCTTTGTAGCAGAACAAATTTGAAGAGCTGCTCTGTCTGACACCTCCTCCTCAGTGGGTTTCCAGAGCCTTCTTTTAGTCAAGGACTTTTCCACTGAGAAGATTAGCTAAGGATGAAAAAAGTATTATGAATTTTTCCACAAAAATAATGCACTATAATTTTGGGAAAATAGTCTTGCACTAAAAGTTCTAAGTCGAAGTGTTGTCCTAATTAAGTATAAACAGGAAATACAGCTTACATGTCACCAAAGTGTCATGTTAAAAGAGCATTCAACAAAGATTCACAGGCACTACTCCAAAGCTAGAGCTGCTTGTGAAATCTTAATTCAGGTTCCTTATAAACTGAACCAAGTAACATACGGCCACATACTCAGTCTCTGTGCTTTTCTCCCTACAAAAATATCACAGCTCAATGCCTATCAGCTGAGGATCTGGAAGGACAGCTGTGCAAAACAGCTACTAATTAAAAATAAACAAAAACAAAAAACAACCAACAGAACACCCAGAGCAAATTTTAATTCAGGAAACACTGGTCACCTGGACACAGTTCACCTTTTTGTTGTTGGCTACTAGTTTCAGCAATCACAACTGAGATGTGGTTGCACTGCACTGCTAAAACTGAATCTTGGACCTTAAGGTTCAAAACATACTCATGTTTCAATCATTTGTCATGCTTACCTTATTAAAATTATTAAATGAACCTACTTCTACAGAACAGAAACTAAATGTGGCATGAGATGCCCCAATATTGTAACAAAATGCATTTTAAGTCTACCAGACTTTCTAAGTACTTTTAAAATATAACCCCTCACACCTAAGTAAATTCTATACAAGATACTCCTTTTAAAGGAATCAGAACTGCAGATATTTCACTATTGTAAACATCTCTAATCTGAACAACTCATTCAGGTAAGAAAAGCTAACGTGCTACCACTACTAACAATTGTGGCACAAGCATTGGGCTTAATATAAACCTTGAAGATGTTTTCTTTAAGCTAGAATGTCCACTTTCAGTAAATCCAGTCAGATTTGCTATTGCAGTAACAAAACATCACAAGAAACAGAAAGTGAGCAAATACAAGCTGTGGTACAGTCCCACAGGACAGTGACTCCTGAGGTTTCAGCTGCAAAATCATACGTCAAACCAGAACATTTGTGCTTTTAGAAATAAAGCAACAAACCAACCATACATACTCAAGACAACAACAGAAAATTGTCCAGCTACACACCTAAAGATATTGCTGTCTTTCCACCAGGAAGGACACTCACCTTGCGCAAAGCATTTTGACTATCTTTTAACAGTTCTGGAGTTGCAATAATAAATACACCAAGAACCAATAAGCCTCCAGGAAGCATTCTAGAAACCTGAAAAGTAGAAATGAACAGGTATTAATAGGAATCGGAGATCTAGCAACCAGGTAACTTGATAGATCACAAATTTCTAACAGGACAAGTAGGCATTAGGAGCAGAAATGAAACAAGCAAGACTGTAAGGTTCTTCTACTTTGAGAAAAAGATTTGAGATCACAGAAACAATGAGACAGTTTTTGTAAGTCTCATTTCCTTTCTGTTCCTCCCACCCCCTTCAGTCACTCGTACTGTTCTACCTGACTGGCATGCGTAGTTATCCATTCTTCATCAATGGATGCCAGCTTTGAAGGAATTATGTTGTCTTCCTTCTGCTCCTCCTTTGGAGGCGTCCGAACAGCACGAATTACGTAGTCTCTTTGCGTGGAACACTTTCAAAAACATCAATATAAGCAAATATACCATGAAGTTGGTATCAAGTCTGAGAATATACCGTGTAGTACAGCAACTGTAAGGTCTGCTTTACAGAAGGCATCGTTAAACTCTATAGTAACGTCACAAAAATAATTCCTTCATGAATTTGCCTTTGCCCTAAAGCCTTATTTAGTGATAAGTTTTATCTTTAAGATTTTCATTTCTCTTCTGTGTGTTACATCTTTCGCAAAACAATATTAAAACACTTGAGCAGTTGGTTGACACTGCCAACCCTTCACAGAAGTCCCTTCTGGTCACATCACCACCCTCCCGCAAAACACAAGCTCAATGTGATGTTTAATGGACTTATTATCTCAGACTGGGGCCAAGGGGGTTTTCCCCTGTTAACGTGAATGAACGGGGCAGACTTCAAACATTTCACACTTACCTGCCCTATTAACAGGCCAGTGACATACGGCTTGAATTTTGTGCTGAGGTCTGAAAGATACTGGCCAATGGCTTCCTCAACAAAGTAAGTTCTACCCATTGTTGCAGGTTTAAAACAAAGTCATCTAGTTTAAACCTGCAAAACAAATCATGTATAAAGCTAAAGACAAGATATATACTAGACCAGTTACATTAAAATAAGAGTCTCACACAAAGATCCTGAACACATTAATACTTTATCTGGCAACAAAGGTTAGCTAAGTAGCTTTATGATCTTCAAGTTTGTTTTTTTAAATGCAAAACATAACTGTCTATACTAGAGGAAGAAATATGTGACCCTTATTTGAAAGGAAACTATTTTAAACACCTGCCACTGCAATGACATGGCAAGTTACGCTCGGAAAAATATGCCTCTAAGCAAGAATTTCTTGCTGCATCACGTTTCATCAGAGGCCAGGATGTAAAGTGTGCATTTTTGCATTCACATTCTTCTCTGAAGGACTCGCTAAATTCCACATTTGCACTTAAACATGCCGTGCACAATTTTCATTCCAATTCCTAAGGCATTCAAAGCATCTGTGGACTATCGCAGAGGCCACCGGCACAGCAGCCACAGGAGCCCAGAGCCCAGGACATGGGCACGGCCGCAGACCCTCCTCCCGCCCGGGCCGACCTCTTCTGGAAACGGCTTCGCGCACCGAGGCCCCTTCACAACAGCGAACTAAGGCAGCGCCGAAGCCAAGGAGCCGGCGGTGGGGAGGCACAGGGCGTTCTCAGTCCCCGCAAAGGCGTCTGCTGGAGCAGCTGCTCAGGGACGGCGGAGCTGGAGCCCTG